CTCTGATTATCTCCTAACTCTTTAGCTTCTATTTTTCTTTCTCCTTTGCTAGTTTTTTTTTCCTTTTAGTACTAGGAGTCATGGATATGTATTATTTTTTATACTTTTCATGGTAATATTCTTTCCAAATTTCCTTTGAGGAATTACCCTCTTTCCCTTTTTATGTTGGCACTATTTGATTTACTACAATTTTTAAAAAATTCTTTATCTTACCATCTATTCTATTAAATCCCCCCACATAATACTTCACTTCTTGAATCTCCATGTTGTTGCTGTAGTCTACACTGTTTGATCTTTAGACTTGCTGCACGGTTGTCCTTTTGCCTTTTTCTAAGGCTGGTACATTTTTTTCCTGAACCCCAATTTGTCCTTGTTTTTCTGGAGTATATGGCTTAATGATATTCTAAAAAATCACCAGGAGGATAATGTTCTATTTGAAATAACATTATTTTTGCTGTCATGGTTGATTGATAATTTGAATGAGTACAGAATTTTATTGAAAAATATGTCATTAAAACTTTGAAAATACTCTGTCATTGTCATCTAGTATCCATTGTTACTGATAGAACTGATCCTCATTTCTTTGTTGATAACATGTCTTTTATGTTTAAAAACTTTTGGGATTGATGATGATGATGATGATGATGATGATGATAATTACATCATAATGTCTCCAAATAAGAATCTTTTTTTCATCTATTTTCTAGTACCTTGTAAATATCCTCATTCTGAAAACTTATTTTCTTCTATATTAAAGAAATAAAAACAACATAATTTTCTTATTTCTTTTTACTTTTAAATTTTTTTCTCTGGGGCTGGGGATGTGGCTCAAGCGGTAGCTCGCTTGCCTGGCATGCGTGCAGCCCGGGTTCGATCCTCAGCACCACATACCAACAAAGATGTTGTGTCTGCTGAGAACTAAAAAATAAATATTAAAAAATCCTCTCTTTCTCTCTCTCTCTCACTCTCTCCTCTCTCACTCTCTCTTTAAAAAAATTTTTTTTTTCTCTTCTACTACTTGAATGTTATAACTGTTAGATAGTCTGTCCCTGGTTAATCTTTTCTCTCAAATTTTCTACTTGTGTCTTTCTTTGTATGCTATGATATTGAAGATTTCTTTAATATTTAGTATTTCAATTTTTTAAATTTAAGTAGTTCCATCAATGTCTAAGAGCTTTTTTTATACTATGGTTGCTCTTTTTCCAGACAACTTTGTTCATATCTTAAAGCATGTCCCAAATACCAGAATATATAAATTGGAATTCTTCAAAATGTTCTTTTTTATTTCATGAATTATATTTGGTTTCTTTAAAGTTAGTTTTTTCATTGTCTTTCTTTTTTACAATGCTGATTTTCCTATTAATTCTTCCTCTGGTGTTTAAGCATAAATGATAGTTGATACAATTTGCCTTTAGTGAGTAGGATGTCTGCCAGTTCTCTCTCCTATGTAGTAATTATAAACAAACAACTGCGATATATATATATATAGGGCAGGGCCAGCAATGCCAAATACCAGATTTTACTATGTTTTATTATAGGATGTATAGTCAAGTAGCAAGTTCTCAGGATGCTTTCCTTGAATAACATAACAAAAATAGTTTTACTCTGTGTTACCAACATAAAAGCTTTCACTTTCTCGGTACTAACTATTGTTAGTTATTAATTTTTGCTGGCTACTTAGGAGGCTGAGGCAGGACTGTAAGTCTGAGGCCAGCCTGGAAAATTTAGCAAGTCCTCTCAAAATAAAAAATAAAAAGAACTGGGGATGTAAATCAGTGGTAGAGCAATTGCCTATCATGTACAAGGCCCTGAGTTCAATCCCCCAGTACCACAAATATAAACAAACAAACAAACAAACAGTTCTGGGAAAATTGGATATCCATATGCAGAACACTGAAATTTGATGCTTCTCTTATTGTATAAAAGTCAACTCAAAATTGATCAAAGACCTAAAGGTAAGACTGAAACTGGGATATTATTAGAATACAGGTGAAACAGTTTGTACAAATAGTGCAGACAATGATTTTGTGGACAGGACCCCAAACGGACAAGAAATATAAGCAAAAATTGAAAGGTGGAATTACATCAAATTGAAAAGGTGATGTACTTCAAAGGAAACAATCAACAGTGTAAAGAAAGAACCTACAGAATCAGAGAAAATATTTGCCAACGATTCATCTAACAGAGGAATATGTAAGAAACAAACAAACAAAAAAATTAAAGTAAACCCCCTAGCAATTCAATTAAAAAACTGGCAATCTGAACAGACACTTCTCAAAAGAAGAAATACGAATGGCCAACAAATGTATAAAAAATGCTTAATATTACTAGATATCAGGGAATTGCAATCAAAACTACAATGAGATATTATCACATCCTAATTAGAATGTCTATTCTCAAAAAATAAAAAATAACAAATGCTGGTGAGGATGTAGAGATAAAGCAACTCTTATATACTCTATTGGTGGGAATATAAACTGGTACAGTCATTAAGCAAAAGAGTATGGAAGTTTGTAAAAATATTAAGAAATATATGTACCATGTAATTTAGTTATTCTACTTTGGGGCATATATCCAAAAGAAAATCAACATACGTAAGAGATACTGCCACATCTATATTTATCATGTCCATATTCACAATAGCTAAGATATGGAATCAGTCTATGTGTCTATCAACAGATGAATGTATAAAAATCTAGCTTATATGCACACTGGAATATTATTCAGTCACCAAGAAAATGAAATCCTTTATTTTGCAGCAAAATGGATGGATATGGAAGATATTATTTTAGGTGAAATTAGCCAGACAAGTAATACATATTCTCTTTCATATGTAAAAGTTAAAAATAGTTGACCTGAATGTAGAATAGTGATTAAAGAGTTTTGGACGTGATTGGTGTACACTGTATGTGAAAAACACTGAACCCTATCATTATGCACATTTAATATGTTAACTGAATATTACAAGAATATTAATAAAAGAACCTACCATTCTAGATAAATTGGTTACTCATTACTACTGAAAATATCTGCAGTCTCGATTTGGGGCTTTGCTTATGCCATAGTTTCTGGAACATCTTCCTCCTCTGTATTAGAGCCCATCGGCATTAGAGTGGCTTTTCATTAACATTTGGGAAACACTCCTGGGCCTAAAAACAGACCAAAGACAGTTCTTAGAGATCATTGAAGTATATTTTCTACTAAGCTTCCTAAAAGAAATATAATACAAACCACCTATGTAATTTTAAGTTTTCCAGAAGCTATATTTTAAAAGTGAAAAATAAACTGATGAAATTAATTTTAATATATTTTTTGACCTGATATGTACCAAATATTATTTTCACATGCAATCAATATAAAAATTTATTTTACATTTGTTTTCCTTCCAAGTCTTCGAAATGTGATTTACATTTTGCACTTATTTGAGTCTCAATTTAAATAAGTCACATTCTCAGCATCAATTTTAAATAGGGGAAGTTCTAGGTAGTCTATTTTCTATTTCCTTTTTCCTTAACCTTCTGGAACTCTGATGGGATCTATCTGTCAAGCACCTGCCATTATCATTTGGCCTCCTTTCATTATTTGATATATTTGTTTTAAAAGGTAACTTGTTTCCTCATGAGGAACTCATTGAATGTCAAGGTTGGAAATAACTTTAACAAAATTATCATCTAATTCTTCTCTTGACATGGGACTCTTCTGCAACAAATGCCTATTAAACATGCATTTGGTCTCCCTGGAGACAAATAAATCCAGTGGTGGAGATATTCACACATGCTAAGGTATATATACTTCTTTTGCTAGTGCTAGAAGAGGATCTTCTCCAAATCTGAAATCTGTTTCCTTGAACTTTACATAGAACAAATGTACTTGATGGGTCTTTTTGTATTTGGAGATAATCTAGCAGCTTTCTCTCTTCAAGGGGAATCCTCTGAAATTCCACCAATACTCCTCATGCCTTCAAGTTATCTTCATGATTTTTCACTTCTCTCAAATAATTACAACTTGACTGAGATCTTTTTTAAAAATATTTTTTAGTTGTTGATGGACCTTTATTTTAAAAATATTTTTTATATGAGGTGCTGAGAATTGAACTCAGGGCCTCACACATGCTAGGCAAGCCCTCTACCACTGAGMCATAGCCCCAACCCCCTGAGGTTTTAAAATGCTCAATCTAGAACTGAATACTAGGACTTCACAAGTGGTCTGGCAAGTGAAGAGTATATTTGGATCTTTATTGGCTGCTTCTCTATAAGAGAGTTCAATTAGGCATCAGGACACATTACCAAAGGGAGAAGTGGTATTGGAGTAGGAGAATTACAACACATCAACTCATAACATCACTGCATCCTTGTTGTTTAGTCCAGAACTCTACACACATACACCACACAGTTCTTTACGTAAGTTTAAAATCATTTCCTGTCTTTTCAACTGAGCTAAGGAATCTTTGGGCTTTTGTTTTTTTTGGCAGAGGTCCCTGACCAATGAATTGAGTGGCAGAGGTAACTTTAGAACTACTGAGCTGAGAATCTACAAGTTAGGGAAAGCGGGACTTGAGAACAGAGACTGTTGTATAAAGTGTACAGCAGTCAGAGGGCTCTGGTTCCTGACGACGGTGGCAATTACCCAGTTATTCATTCATATTGCTCTTCTTTTCACCTATAATAGGAATTATTTCCTCCATGTAGTCACCAAAGGTGGGTGGTTGGAAGACGAGGCCAAACGAAGCAATTTCAGGGAAAGACTCAAAAGTAGAGAGCCGGGGACCCCAGGCTWGGCCTGGTGCGGGTACTCGGACCATCACAGAATCCGCGGGAGCGTGCGCTCTCCCGGAGCGCGGCCTCGGGCCTTCACTCCCCAGAGCCGTGCGGGCCGGAGGCGGGGCGGCAGCGCGCGTACGCGGGCGGGGGCGGAGGGCAGCTGAGACGACGTGTCGACGTTGGCGCCGGTGCGGGCGATGACGTGTAGGCCCGCGCCGGCTCAGCGCCTTCACTCCTTGCCGGGTGTGTGCGTCTGTCCCTCGGAGGGGCAGCCCTCGCTTGTGGTGCCCGGTGACTGGGAGTGACCTCAGAAGGGCCCGCGTGGGGCGCGGAGGAGAGGGGACGCGCAGCTGCCCACCGGCATCCTCGTCCCGGCCCTCCGCTCCCCACCAGGCGTGGGAAGTAGAGATAAAACCGAAAGGGAGGGAGGCGCGGAGGCAGGAGCGGGCGGAGTGATGGGAACCGCGTGAGCGCGGCCAAGAGGTGAGGAGGTGGGGGAGTGGGAGGGAGGAGGAGAGGGGTGCAGCGGTCGGGAACGGGCGGGAGGTGGGGCCGCAAGACCCCTGGGCCAGCCTTAGTCAGACTGGGCAAGCCCGGACCTGTCACCCTTCTCCTGGCCTGGGACGCATCTGCTGGGACCTATCCCAGCTCAGTCCAGGAGTTTGAAGGTGGGGGTGGGGATGAGAAGAGCCACTTACTTCCCAGGTGTAAAGGCCACAACGTGGCCACTTGGGGTTATTCTTGTGTCTTGTGTATGGGTTGTTTTCATTATTATTATTTTGGTTTCAAAGCCGTGGTGAGAGTTTCCTTTGGTTAGATTTTGGGAGGAAAATCTGCCTCCTGGTATATCACCCCCTGGCGCGCGCACACTGAAAAGTGAACAGACTGGGTAAGGAATTTACTATGGTGGACTGTGGATGAATTTAGCAGTTAAGGAGTCTAGAATGACATTTTGAAACAAACAAATTTGTGTGCTAGGGAGATGACACGGGTATGAGGGTGGTTTTTAAAGATAGATTACATATCATGGATTAACTTATTAATGAAATTCAGAATGCTCTGGTATTTGTTATTGTTTGGTTTAAAAGAAACAATTTTAGTGACAAATTAAAAGTTTGACATAAATGGCAGTTAAAATTGATAATCATGTTTTCAGTCTGTCTTACCTCAAGTTATGGTTAGGTTGAATAGTAGATATCTCCATAACCAGATTTCATGTTTAATTTTTTTTTCTGATTATCACAAAAAGGAAGCACAAAAGTTGAGAACTCCACTTTTGATATTAGTCTAGATTGTGCTTCAGTCCATGTTACACCTTTATTTTTAATGATGGTTATAATAGTCTTACATGAGGAAAATGATCCCTAGAGATGCCAGTTAAGTGTAGGCTAAGTAAGCTTTGTCTTAAAGTGACTTAGTTTTTATGACTTAGCTTTCTTGATCCCTGTCAGTTTTTTTGTCATTCATTCATTCATGTCTTCAAATGTGCCAAGCAATATGCAAATCTGGCAAATAAAGATACAGTCTGTGCTCATGGAGTTTTGTATAGTAGTGGCACCCTTTTAAGAATGAATCTTGACAAGGATTCTTTTTCATACCATGAATATCTAGTTGATCAAGGCAAAGCTTTTTACAAGAATATACTATTATAGATGCTTATGTGTAACTGGCATTTAAAGAGGAACAGCATTAGTTGATGTTGTCTTTGGTTAAAAAGACAGTATACATGCTAGTGGTGTGCCCTTTAAGAGGAGTAAGTTTTTCTTTTGCAAAGTTGGTGTAAATATAAAGTTCACAATTGGAAATCTACCAGAAAAAAATTAGTATTTTTCCATTCTGTACATTGGTCTGATTAATTTACCATATGTTAATAACTTGTGATTTACATAAGTAATAACATAAAGCATATTTCTCAGGGACATGTCTATTGACTAAATAAATTTATTACTCAGTAATACCTTCCTTGAGGAGATAGTTGAYATAAGCACTTTCAGCATGAAATATGTTGTGATTAAGGTGGTATAGTTTTCAACTTGAAGATCTCTACCTGAAATTGAAATTTTAGCAAAATCAGCATTTATTGATAGAAAAAGTACATAATTATCAAGGAGAGTAAGATGCATATTAAATATCCCTAATCCCCAAATCCAAAATCTGAAGCATTTTAAGCTCTTACATGAACATCATAAATGGAAAATTACATACCATGAAACCTTTTTCATGGACGAAAACATTAAAAGTACTATGTAAAATAATTTTCAGGCTGTGCATAGTGGTATGTACCTATAATCCTAGCTACTCAGGAGGCCGAGGTAGAAGATCACAAGTTCCAAGCAGCTTTGGTAATTTAGCAAGACTGTCTCAAAATAAAAAGGGCTGGGGATGTAGCTCAGTGGTAGAGCAATCCTAGGTATAGCAGAACAAAAAAAGTACCATCTCATTTAAGTCCTGCATTTTGTACGTGGATGAACAAATGAAGATAAATCTATTATTTGTTTTCATTTCTCTATTTACTCACTATGTTTTACAAGTTTTCCTATTTTTATGCTATCTCTAACTTTTGATTCAAAGATAATACAATTTAATTCATGTTTGAGCATTCTGTTTAGATTTTGAAATGTGAAAGGGGCATTAGAAGTCATTTTGTAAACCACTTTCATTTTATTGATGAGAAAATTGATACTAGAGAAGTTGGCTGATTTTCTACCATGCATGAAGCAAAAAATGGCACCAGAACTTAGTTTTTCTTATTTTTATTTTACTTATACTATATTATTCTACCTCTCCTCATTGTTATCTGACTAGACTAATTCTTGGGGAGCTTTTAAAATCAAGATATAATCTCATTTATCTTGCTGGTTTCAGTATATTTTGGCTAATCTTCCTCTGTTTCTCTGATTAACTCTCCAAAGAGGATTTTTAGGAATTGCATTCATTATCAGAGGTTTATAGTAGTAACATGGAAAATTAGGTTGAAATTTGGAGAGGCACATAATAAAAATCCTAGTAACGAGTAAGAAATTTACAGTTAACAATAAGAGATTTTAGGATATATTTTAATAAGATAATTGCTGATCAGTGAATATTTATATATGAAGAAGGAGAAGTTTACACCTACTTATTTAATCACTAAACCAAAGATTGCCAAACTACTGAAACAGAATTCCTAGCGATGGTGTCTAGAAATATGAAAGAAACTCTCCAGTGATTATAAACAGTTTGTATTTTGGGGTAAATTCTACTTTAAACCTATGAACTCAACAGCTCTTACTTTAGGATACTATCTGTCTCATTAAACCTGAACTTCAAAAGAAGCAAAGTAATTTTTCTCAGGATTATAGAGAAGCAGTTGCTAATGTTTTCTACTATTTTGAAAGATTTGTTAGGCCATTTTAAATTAAGTGAATGGCTAGCAAAGTATTCAGTTATGGGTAGCTAAGAAATATGATACATAGAATTTGATAAGAGAAAGTGCAAATTCCTTTTTCCAAGAGAGGAAATTCATGCTTACTGCTGAAATAGGTCCTCTAGTTAGGAAAATTTTATTTACTCTTTTTTTGAAAGTGAATAGAATGCCCTTAGGCTAATCAAATGGAATGATATGAAGATGTTAAATTCTTCTCTTAAGCATAAATAGAAATAAACACACCTTTATCTTCATTTAAGAAACTTAATTATAAAATTCTACATAAATTATTTTGAAGAAGAAATTTATTTGGGGGTGATAACTCAATTTACAAAATAATTTCAGTATATCTTTTCCAATTTGAATGCATTTTCTAAAATGAGGCCTGCTTTGGAGTAGTACCTTTAACACTAAGGAGTCTTACTGAACATTCTCCAAGGAGTGAAGGAAGCTTTGCAAAAATATAGTATTATCTTTATTTTGAGGATTGGAGTGGTAAGGAATGCCTAAAAATCACTTTTGGGTAGCTTCATGGTTTTACTCTGAATATACATCATCTAGCAAATATTTACTAAGTTCCTAAGCATAGGCCAATAACCACACAAGGTACTGGGGAAAAAAGCAAAAACTACATTACTTATGATCTATTGAAGATCAGTGTGAGTTCCTGGTTTTGTAGGACTCTTGAGTGTACTGACCTGAGGCAAGGCCTTGTCACTCATTCATTGAATCTGAAAATCAGCTTGGAAAGAAAATGAGTACACTGTTAGGAAGTTTAAAGAGTGGATGATTTCACTCCAATTATTCAGAGCTAATGTGTTCATACATTATTTATTAAAAAACAGAAAATTGGAAAAACATTGATAAGATGCTGAATCCAATGGATATTTGACCTCATGTAATATTTTGCATGGTTAATTACTACCTCTTTCTTTTTCTTTTCCTTTTGTTTTGATGATATCACACTTCTGGTTTTCTCTGGTCTTTTTGGCCTCTTGCTATTCAAAATCTCTTTTATAGACCTTTTCGTTATTTATTCCTTGAAGGCTTGTGCTTCTGCACCTTCTATCTTCTTCTTAGTCTTCATACAAATCTGTGGGTGATTTTCTTTTTTTTTTTTTTTTTTAAGAGAGAGAGAGGAGAGAGAGAGTTTTTAATATTTATTTTCTAGTTCTCGGCGGACACAACATCTTTGTTGGTATGTGGTGCTGAGGATCGAACCCGGGCCGCATGCATGCCAGGCGAGCGCGCTACCGCTTGAGCCACATCCCCAGCCCAGGAGGAGCATTTATGAGGTCAGATTAAAACATAGAACATTCCTTCAGGCCTTTGAAGATAATCCAGAGATAAGATTTTAAGCAGATAAGAGAGCAACAGTGTTTGTGAGGTTTTAAAAAAGAGTTATTCTAGCCAGGTCTGGCAGTGATTCAGGARGTTGAAGCAGGAGGATCTCAAGTTTAAAGCCAGCCTCAGCAAATTAGTGGAGGCCCTAAACAAATTAGTGAGACCCTGTATCAAACTAAAAAATAAAAGGGCTGGGGATGTCGATCAGTGGTTAAGCGCCTCTGGGTTCATTCCCCCAGTACCCAAAACAACAAAAACAACAACATCCAAAAAAGAAGATTTTAAAATAAAGGGGGGGAAAAAGACAAAAAACAAAACAAAACAAAATATTTTTGTTTATATGCAGAAACTAGATATTTGGAATTAAGAGTGAAAACGGGAAGAATAAATAGAAGGCTATGAAGCACACACATTTCTCCACATTTCTCTTACAGAATATTTCTAACACCATATGTGCATTTTTTTGTTTTACATTGACCAATTCTCAGATACCAGTTATGTCCTACAGTTAAATTTAATTCTGTCACTATCTACCTGGAATTATCCTCATATCCTACAAGTTAAAGGCTCACTTCAGATGCTATCAGAAGTCTGGGCCTTCTAAGCATCTGACTCATTTGCTATAAATCCAGGGTTCCCATTACACATTGTTTGAGTTCAAAAATTTGCAAGAATGACTCAAAGAACTCAGGGATGCACTTTACTTGTATCTATTTATTATAAAGGATATTGT